CCAGGACGATGGCCTGGCGCCCGGCCGCCCGCCAACATGGCCGATCCGGGTCGGGCCGGGCCTCCCCGGGGCCCGGGCCCTCGCCCCCTGCGCCCTGGCGCCCGGCGCTCACGCGGGCCCTTTGTGTCTCTCCTCCTCCCGCAGCAAGATGTTCATCGGGGGACTCAGTTGGCAGACTACGCAGGGTGAGCGAGCCCGGGAGCGCCCGCCGGCCAAGGCAGGGCACCCTGGACACCCCCCCCCCGGCTCCCCGGAACCGGACACCCCAGCCCGGCCCTGCGCCCTGCTGACCCCGGGCGCCCCCGCGCCCTCTTTCGCGCCCCGCCCGGGGACCCCGAGAGCGCAGGGCGATCGGCGAGCGCGCATGGCCCAGCGGGTGGAGGGGAGGAGATGAGGGGTTCAGGGGGCATTGGGGGGTGGGCTGGGCCCCCGGGACCCGCCGGCGGCAGCGCCAACTCCGCTCGCACCTGCGGCTCAAACTTTTGTGAGGCGGCTCCGGGAGCGGCGGGAACCCGGCCGGAGCCGTCCCCCCTCCAGCCCAGCTCGGCCCTCGGCTTCCTGGAGCCCCCGTGGGCGCCAGAAGGCTCCACGGGAGCTGGGTGAGGACTATGGAGGGGGGGCAGTGGAGAGCGCGCAGGCTGCTTGGCGCGGGGGCGGCCGGGCCGCGGCGGGGTCACCGGGGGCAAAGGACGGGGGAGGGGGGGGGAAGGGCGCGGGGCCCGAGCTGGTCCGAAGGCGGGTGTGTGGTTACAGAAGGGCTGCGCGAATACTTCGGCCAGTTCGGGGAGGTGAAGGAGTGTCTGGTGATGCGGGACCCTCTGACCAAGAGATCCAGGTGAGCCCCTCACCCCCGCCTCCTGCTCCCGGCTCGCCCCCCTCCACCGCCGCTCACTGCCTTGTAACCATCTGCCTCTCCCTCACTACCGCGCGCAGGGGTTTCGGCTTCGTCACTTTCATGGACCAGGCGGGGGTGGATAAAGTGCTGGCGCAGTCGCGGCACGAGCTCGACTCCAAAACAGTGAGTGGCCCTCAGGGCGTCGGGGGTCCTTTGGGAGAGGGAGGCCGCCAGAGGAGAGGGTCAGGACTCTCCCCCCAGAGGACAGTTGAACCGGGTCCTTAAGGAAAGAAGGAGTTTTCTGAGTAGAAGGGCTGCCAAGCTCCGAAACTTTGTCACCAGAGTCGGGGGGCCGGGGGCAAAGGGAGGATAAAAATCCCAGGCCTGCGGTGAGATGCTACACCCCCCCCCAGCCCCTCCCTATACCTACTAATCTTGATGCCTCCCCGGAGCAGCTTGGGGTGGGGCCAGGGCCCTCCCCTAGCCCGAACTGGGTGAGTCAGGGCTGCAGCGACCCATCCCGTGGCTTCTCTGGACTCTAGAATTTGGCTCCCCACCACCACCATTCCAAACCAATGGCAAAGCATCACTGAATTCCCCTCCCTCTCCCCCCCCCTTTGGTCTATGAGCTCCCCGCTTTGTGTGGAAGACATGAACCTGCTTTGCCCGTGAAGGGATTTATGAGAAGGGAACTAGCGTGCCTGGAAACAACCCTTCTGAGGGCTGGATCCAAGGGGAGGCTGCTTTTCTGGCATTCAAACTCCTAAAACATTTTACTGCTGTCCCACTGCTCCCCAGTGGCTTGGGCCCTCCAGGGGGCGCTGGCCCAGGCCCCTGCTCTAGGGGAGAGGGAAAAGGAGAAAGTCAGAGGAGGGGTTACTCTGTGATGGGGTGACCGGAGGCCAGGGGGCCGGGACAGTGTGATCTCTCTCTCCACACTCCCCCACTCTCCTCCAGCCCCGGGCCTCCCTGCTTGGGTCAGTCACCAGCTCCTGTTTACCTGCAACAATAACTGGTTGTGCCCAAGAATTTGCTAAATTACCGCCTGTCCCCAGCTCCTGTTATCTCTGCCCAGTGGCTCCCACTCCTGCTCGCAGTAATGAGCAAATGAGGCCAGGCCTCAACTTTGCCGGCTCTGAAAGGATCTTCTTGGCGCAGACTGAGTGACCCAAGCCGGGAATGGAAAGACAGTGCCCTATTGTTTTTGGTGATTATCTGCCATCAAGCTGCCAGTTCTCCTACCATCCCCTGTCCTCAGAATGCACTGATGGCTTCAGCAGAGCTCAGGAAGCTGAGATTTAGGGACTGGGGCTGGGTGGGGTGGGGGGGTCATGGAAGATTGATAAGGAGAAGAGAGAAGAGGGGAAGGAGGGTGTGATGGGCATCCTTCTGAGGTTTGGGACTCAAAAAGGCAAGGGCTTTGTGTTTGGCATTCGCTGGCCTGGGGGAGGGGGCTGGGAGGGAGGTTTATTGTGGGGAGTCTATTTTGGGTTTTGACTTTCACCTTTTATTTACTTGTTGGGTTTTATTTATGTTACCGGCTGTGAGTCAGAGTGGAGGTGGGGTGTGTCAGGGATCGGGTGTGCGTGGGTCTGTGGGACGTGGCTTGGGTACCATCTCCCCATCAGGGTCTGCGCAGGGGGACTGTCTGAGGTGCTCTGGTGGCTGGGGAGGCTGCTTCCAGGAGAAAGAGAAGGATGAAAATGTCCATAGAGGTACGAAATCACACCCTCAGACAGGGGAAATGGGCAGTGGTGATTTCCCCTGAAGCCCAGGGGGACTTTGGGAGAGAGGAGACATTGCCCCAGCATGGATTTTAGAGGTTCCTTCTCTGTGGGCAGATCCAGTGGGGGAGCCCAGAGGAGGCTGGTCCCTGGTTCATGCCATTTAGGCAGAGAGGAGCCAGCGCCGGTTGCCTAGAACGAGGCTGAGTTTTGAACGGAAGGAACTTTGGGAAAAGATAGATCTTCCCTGCGATTGGCTGGTGAACTTCTGAGTGGTATCCACCCATGTGGATGGCAAGAAACTCTGGAATGACCAGGCCTCATAGGTCCTGCATTGATCACAATGTCTCGCGCCCTGGCTTTTTCTGTTTATCAGTACCCAGGAGCACCCAGGTGCATCTTGCTTTTCTCCTTTGGTTGTTCACGGCCAAGGGCAAAGGTGGCCTGCTGGCAATAGCACCTTTGTTTGCGCAATGAAGGGCAGTTCACAAAGGGCTGCTTTCACCCGTGTTATCTCATTTGATTCCCCATGGCTGCCCCTGGGAAAGTGCGTGTGATTATCCCCACTTTGCAGATGAGGGAACTGAGGCTCAGAGGGGTGGGCAAGTTACCAAAATCAGAGGCTTGGCCTGGAGCCCAGAGTTTCTGATGGAGTCCAAGTCCCATGCCCTTGCACATTACCAAAGGCTGCACTCTGATTCACTCCAAACCTGGCTGCATTATCAGGGAGCTGTTTGCTTGCAGCCTCAAAGAGGGCTGTTAGATGTCGATAGCATTGGGGGAACAGAACTGAGTCCATTCCTGGTGATTTATGAACTCTTACCTTGAAGCAAAGAGTATTTCCATCCACAAGGCTTCCAAAGTCTGGATTGCATGCCTCCCGTAGACAGGCATCTGTGTGAAGTCAGTTAGGTGAGGAGGACCCTCGAGTACCCTGTGCTTGAAGAATTAAGACTTTGCTTACTTTGTTGGGGTTCCGGCTGTGAGCCAGACCCCTTGCCAAGTGCTTTGTAAGCATTATCTCAAATAGTCTGTGGAGGACCCCTTTGAGATGGGTGTTACTTTTTGCCCATTTTGCAGGAGAGCTTGGCCCTGAGGCTCAGAGAGGTTAAGTAACTTGCCCAGGGTCTCACAGCTGGGAAACAGTGTAAGTGGGATTTGAACCCAGCAGCCTGGCACTAGGGCCTAAATGCTTAACCACTATACTTTTCTGCCAGAGGCTGTGGTGATTTCTGTCCCCTCTGTGTCACCTCTGTGTCCTGGGATGAGAGAAGTCCTCAGGGCTGAAGGCTGTGTGGTCACCCATCTGAATGCGATAACCAAGGCCCCTTTACCTCTTCGTTCTCTTTCAGATTGATCCCAAGGTGGCCTTTCCTCGGCGAGCACAGCCTAAGGTGGGTATGTCTGTGTCTGGGAGGAGCTGTGCTACTTCAGGCAGTGATTCCCTTCTATGGGAGATGCTTCTGGAACCTCTGTTTGGAGTGTTTCTGGAATAGACTGGGATGGGAAGAGGGAGGATTCTTAATGTCCTTGCTCTGTGGGTTGAAGACATCCTGCATCTTTCCATCTGTGCTCTGGGATGGACTGGGAGGGGGCTGCATGTATTGGGAGAAGGAGGAACCCCTCAGGGGATTCATTGTCCTGTATTTGAAGCCAGTACACTTTGGACCCTAAGTCGAATTCTGACCTCATAGATCACAGTGGCTAAACCCAATGCCCCTGTGGAGGTCAAACCCAGGACAGACAGCCCCTGAGGCTGAGCTAGTGTCAGGCCAGGGAGCTATCTCTGACCCCCCAATCACCTTCCTACCCCTGGGGTTCACTGTGTTCAGCTTGCAGAGGGGCAAGGGAGCATGGAGTAGGTCACCTCTTGTCTTTCAGCTTGGGTGAGTGGCTACCCTCCCAGTGCTCTCTTTCGCCAGTGCTGTGGCAAGTTTTTCTGGGTGTGTGTGCATTCTGAGCAGTTGAGCTACATAGCATTCAAGACTATTGGTGCAGTGTAGGGGCCTGAGATTTTATTCCAGGCCCCAAGGCAAATAGCCAGATCTTAATTTTTAAATGGTGAAATATAGGGGACAGGAAGGAAGGCTGATTACAGTACAGGGAGCTGAGGACCCCTGAGTCTGCTGACTTGTGTCTTAGGACTAGGTCCCCCTTCGGGAGATCTGTTTCCCCCTTTGCAAGGGGTTTGGTAGGAACCAGGATGCTTTAAGGTTTTGAGCCAGTGGCTTCCATCATGGTGCTCAGCTCCTGCCACAGCGAAGGGAGAGGGACACGTTTTAGGAGACAGGAAGGGGACATCTCTAGAAGGATCCAGCAGAGGGCCTGAAAGCAATTATGGAGCAGGTATTCGAAGGAAGCCGCACCAGGGAGCACATGGTCGGAATTGGGTTAATTCCATTAAGCAGTTTGGTGACAGAAGGTGCTTTAGTGTTAGGATGGGGCTGGGAATTGCTGTGGATTAGCCATGCGCTCCTGGGGTAATTAGGACCATGTGTTCTTCCTAAAACAGGGCTGGGGCCACAGGGCTGCCAGAGGTTGGGTTGGGAGGAGGTTGATGAGGAAAATGTCGGCGTTGAGTTCAGGGGAACCCTGTGATGGGCCTTGGTCTCTCCCACGGGTGCTGGTGGGGTCTCTGAGTTACACTGTAGGTCTGGGTCACTAACCCGCCCCCTTCCCTGTGTTGGTCCTTCTGGAAGGCATTTTCCCCTACACAGACCCCAGGGATGCAGGCGGGAGGGAGGCACACTCAGGCCAGCCAGTGTGTGGGGTGCACAGCTGCCCATGACAGGCCTAGAGGTGGGGGTCCAAGGGGGAGCTGGGGGGGCTTCCGAGTAGCTAGGGCCACAGAGAGCTTGTCAGCTGGTGCCCTGGCAGGAGGGCTCGAGCCCCTGCTGGTGGCAGGAGGCCACAGGACTCAGATGCCCACTTTCTCATTCCCTCCCCTTAACAGATGGTGACTCGAACGAAGAAGATCTTTGTGGGGGGGCTATCAGTGAACACCACGGTGGAGGACGTGAAGCAGTATTTTGAGCAGTTTGGGAAGGTGGGTCAAAACTGGGGGTGCTTGCTGGGGGTGCTTTCAGGGGCTGTGGAAGCCCTGTAGCATTGGTCAGTACAAGCAGAGGCCAGCCAGGTCATTCCAATTCCTGCAAAAAAGGTGAAAAGGGGACTGGGTCCTTTCGTGGGTGAGGCCAGGCTCCTCACGGTTCAGGCTCCTTTCCTATCTGTGGGCCTCAGCCTCTGGACACATCCCCAGGGAGAGAAGCCACACAGTAGCTGTCCCTGTTGTTGCCCTCCCCCTGTGTTTTTCTCTTGCTTATCTTCATTCTCCCGAGGGAGGCTGCTCTCCCCTAGCCAGTTCAATCCAGTCACCCCTTGGCCTCCTGGGAGTTTGCACCTGTCCAGGCCACGGGCGGTTGCACCTTCCCCCACTCCTTCCTGGTGAGGATGATAAGGAGGCAATAAATATGATTCCCAATTGCACTCAGCGCCCAGCTTGCACAGGTGGGAGCTGGGGGGGAGGTGCTGATCCCCTAGCTATTTGAGGGGGAGCACTGAGGAGAGCACCCTAAATTCCTGATCAGGCCCAGCAGATTGGCTCTCCGCTCTGAGGTGCATTGAGCTTAAATTTCTGGACCATTTAGTTTATGAAGGAGATGTGGCATCATCAGACAATAGGTTGTCCCCAGAAAGGTGAGTGATGGGAGCATCAAGGTCCCGTGGGGCTATGGCAAAGAGGGGGCCAAGTTTTAAGACTGGGGGTGAAGGAGGGCTGCTGTGCTTAGGGCTGGGGTCCCTGGTCTTCGATGACGTGAGACAGACTACAGGCTGGGTCTCTACCTGCCCAGCAAGGCATTTTCAGTTGCCTGCTAGGTAAAGGGCAGCGGCCTTGGGAATGGGATGTGAGCTGGGGACCGGCTGGGCTTCCAGGGCCCTGTCTCTAGGGGAGAAGAGGAGAGGGTGGGAGGTCCCCTGGCCAGCGGCTGCTGGCGGCGTGGGGGCCAAAGGCCTGGGCTCAGGCGCCTCCGTGGGGACCCGGGTACAGGACGGAGGGCAGGTCGGCGGCCTGGGCCCCAGAGGGAAGGGCGCTCCTGGGAAGCAGCAGGCCCGCTCGGCTCCGGCGGGGTGTCTTTGTGTCTGAGCGCCGAGCATTAGAGCTCGCACTAATCTGATCCAGCAGCTGTGATTGGAGGCCGCCTGCCCCCGGGGCCGGCGTTGCCATGGCAACCGGGCCCCAGGAGAAGCCGTCAGCGGCCGCGTCTTTTGTTCGGGCCTAAATCGGCGTTGGCATGTGAAACCGGCCCGGGGAGGCCAGGGGGAGCCGGAGAATAGGCTGCCAGGGAGCGAGGGGGACAGCCGGGAATGCCAAGGGCCCCGCGGCGGGGGGCCCCCCGCCCGGATCGAGGGGCCGCCGCCGAGGGGGGAACAATGGTCAGCCGCCATGGCTGCCACTCAGGCTTAGCGGCCGCCGAACTTGGCGGCTCCCACTGGTCAGCAGGCCTCGGCCGCCTCCCCTCCCCCTGCCGGAGCCCCCCTGCCCCCGGGTTCCCATGGAGACCAAAGCCTATTAAGGACACTGGGCTGGGAGCCTCCCTCCCCTCAGCTGGCCCCAGGAGGGGACACCAGTGGGGGTCCCCTGGACCCCCAGCCACTTCCCTTGCTCCTTGCCCTGGCCTCAACCCCACTGCCTCGCTAGGGGTCTGTCCAGCCGAGGCCCGGTTGAAGGGTCTGGGGGGCCAGGAATGGTGGGAGCTGGAGGGTTGGGTGAAGGAAGGCCAGAACGGCTGTGGATTTGGGCTGAATCACTTTGTGGGTCAGGCAGGAACTCAGAGCTATAGGATTAAGGAAGAGGGTGTGGCTTTTATTCATTCATTAATTCAAAAAATAATTACTGAGTACAAGTCAGGGTGCTCGATAGGATGGCCATCACCATAGCTGGCCTGGGTGCTGTCCTAATGGAACCGTCAAAGGCAAGGGGTGTTGGGTTGCTCGCTCTCTTGCTTTGCTTCTCCCTCACGTGACTGTGGGTGAGCCCCTCCATAATAAAGGTCAAAATAGCTGTTATTTATTAAGCACTTGCTGTGTCCCAGGTAACGTGATTTCGTGTTACAGGTGCCATGTCATTTAACTCATCTATACAATTGATAAACACTGTTACGCCCATTTTACAGATGAGGAAACCTAGTCCAAGATTACCCAACCAGCAAAGGCAGGGATCTTGGATTCCATTTCCAGTCTGTCCTACTTAAAGCCTGTATTTTTATCACAACTCTCCTTTCTAGATTTCTCTTTTCCATTGTTTAGGCAAGGGGGTGGGGAAGATGTGTGGAGCCTAAAGCGTCTGCCCAGTTTGGACGGTCTAGCTGATTTGGGATTGGGACGCAGAGTGGGTCCATAAGGATGGGAGTGTCAGAGGCACTCTCCTGCCGGCCCCTGGAGCAGGAAGCTCCTTGGGGAGGGAGGTGTCATTTCCCTCTAAGATCCTCCAGCGACCCAGCTGCCTCCTGACTTAGTGGGGTCCTGGTTCTCCCAGGGGGGCGTCAGAGGCCTGGTGCTGCTTGGCACCTAAGGAGAGCTGGGGGGCCACCCTGTTCAGGGGCTGCCTTTGCCACTTTAATGAGGTAGATGACAGGCTGGAAAGAGGGCCAAGGAGAGTGGAGGAGAGGCTGTACCCCATGGCCTCAGGAAGTTTTCCTTCATCCCTTGGGTGTCTGACCATTTGGGGGAGGGTCAGCGGCTGAAGTGGGATGTGTGTGTTGTGGGGGGAAGGTATCAGAAGCAGCCCTTGATTTCCACCCAGGACAAATCAGACCTTAGCTTAACCCCATGAGGTGGCTGACATTGGCTGAAGAATTAAGAGGACAAGGAGGAAGCATGCGCTGTAGGTAAAGGGAGGGAAATGGGACTGCAGGAGGGAAGCTAAGGCCTTTGGCTGTCCATGTATCCAAGGGGATGCCTTGAGGGAGTAGCAAGAAGAGGAGACCGGGATGCAAGGGAGGGGGGTGGATCATGTAGCCCACCCCCCTTCCTCAGCCCCCTGCCCCTCCCCCAGTCAGTGGGAGGCAAACAGCCCAGGCACTGAACTCTACTTGCTTTAATTACAGCCTCTAGCAAAAGGAAACCTCAATTAGAGGAAAAGATCTGTACCAGGAGAGGGGAGTCAAGTCTGGCTGGAGTGGCTGCCGTCCTCCTGGCCTTTTGCAGAAAGGGAAGAGGCTTTCATTTCCCCGTTTCTATCTTGCTCCCACGTTGCCTTCTTTAGCACCCACTCCGCGCCTCCTCCCAGGCTTGGTCTAGGATTTGCTGTGTGACCTTGGCCTGGTGACTTCACCTCTCTGAGCCCATTTCCTTATCTACAAAACGAGGCGCTTACATTGCAGGGACTGTAGAGAGGATGATGGGGCAAAGTGCCAGGCACATATTTGGTGCTTCATATTTGCAATCTGGTCCATTGAGAATCTGGTGGTTGGATGGGAGGTGCCTTGGCATCCAGGTGGGGTTGCAGATGCAGATGCACAGGGAGCAGATTTAAGAGAAAGCCTAGCCTGCACGAGAGGGGCGTGGGCGTGGGAGCGAGCCCCTGCTGCTGTGTTGTGGCGGGTCCCCTGGTCTCTGGTGGGTCCACCATGGCAGGCTCTGTTTCAGGTGGACGATGCCATGTTGATGTTTGACAAAACCACCAACCGGCACCGAGGTGAGTGTGGCCCCCTCCCCCTTTCCAGGCCAGGCTGGGGGCCTGTGGTCAGCCAGGGGGCTGCAGGTCACAGCTGCCCTTTCATCTTGCCTCCTGACATCCTATCCCCAAGGATCTGCATCCTCTCCCGGGCCTGGCCTTACAGAAGGCTTTTGTCCCGCCGTTTCCTGTGCTAGAAACTTGCCCAATTGCAGACACCCGAGAGGAGCAGAGGAGCAACCTCCCCCCTTCCAAACTGAGCCCTCAATGCCCCCCCACGCCACCCCCCCCAACGCCCCCGCCCGAGCTGGTGTCTGCTGGGGCTTACCTTGTCCCTGGTAACCAGAGCTTAGGCCAGGCCGCCCCAGGGTCAGGCTGACTCCACAGTCTGCTCCCGCTCCCACCCCCACCCACGGGCTGAGCCCAGCCCCCAACCCCCTTGCCCCTGAACCTGTGAGCATCTGGGCCACAGTGTGCATTGCCTGGTTGTTTTTCTCCCAAGGGCCTTGCCTTCTGAGAAATCCCATTCCAACCCCTGGGGCACACCCGGGAGGAGGTGGGGTTGTTTCTCCAATTGCTTCAGGGTGTATTAGCCTGTTTGGGGATTGGGATGTGTGCTGGGGTGTGCACGTATGTATGTATGTGTGTGTGTATTTGTATCTGTGCACGCGAGGGTGTCTGTGTCTGAATATTTGCATGTGTCTTGTGTGTCATGGTAACTCTTCATGTGTAGGGGGGCCTTTGTGAGCGCTGCCAAGTTTCTGTATGATGTATGGGTCCCTAGGTATATGTGTGTGTGTGTACATCTGTGTATATGTGTGACTGTGTACAAACATAGGTTTGGGTGTGTACACTTTTGTGTAAACGTATGTAAGTGTTTGTGTGTGTTCTTCCTTCCTTTGGAAAGCATCTGAGAAAGCGAAAAGGCATGTTGAGTGTATCTTCATGACGGCCCTAACGCTTTCTAATTTGCTGTGTGACCTTGGACAAGTCACTTCACTTCTCTGAGCCTTGGCTTTCGCATCTGTAATGTGGGGACTAGAAACCCTGTCTCAGCAGGAGGGGAGTTGAGAGGTTCCTAGGCTGTGGGCGGAGGCTTCCGTTAACTCTCGGGCACTGGCCCGTGAAAGAGGAGTACTGATGTGGTATCACTCGGGGCTGGGTTTTGACCATAAACCCTGGTTTTTGTCCCTGCCTTTGCCTTCTAGGGTTCGGGTTTGTCACGTTCGAGAGTGAGGACATCGTGGAGAAAGTGTGTGAAATACACTTCCATGAAATCAACAACAAAATGGTGAGTGGGGGAGACCGGACGGGTGGAGGTGCACAGAGAGAGACACGGGCGCTCGGAGGTTCTGGAGGCAGGCAGAAGGGAATCACAGTCCACGGGGCAGAGTCAGTTCTCCCACCCCCTGAAGATCTGGACAGGAAGCCAGTGTCTCCTGGTGGTTAAAAAGCATGGCTCGTGGAGTCAGAGAGTCCTGGATTAACATCCTCACTCTACCACTTGCTAGTCTGTTCATTAGGGAGATGACTTCCCCGCGTCTGAGGCAGCACTATGCCCCCTCCTGGGCTTGGTGTAAGCCCTAACTGCCTGCAGAACTGTTTACATGATCTCTAGCGCCCAGCGAGCACGCCATAAATGGTATCTATGAACCTAACAGGAAGGAGGCCGGCTAGGGAACCAGAGGGTCTACGACCCTACGTCCGGAGGAGGGACTGACCATCAGGTCTCATTGCAGGTGGAATGTAAGAAAGCTCAGCCAAAAGAGGTGATGTCGCCGACGGGCTCAGCCCGGGGGAGGTCTCGAGTCATGCCCTATGGGATGGACGCCTTCATGCTGGGCATTGGCATGCTGGGTATGTGCTAGGCCTGCACGTGTGGCTACTTCCCACCCGCAACTGCTCCCAGGGCTCCCAGGGGCTGCGTACGTGTTGCCTCTCCTCTGTGGCCTGCCCTCCTGTGTGAGTCACCGGGCAGGAGTGGGGACCAAGGATCTCAAGCCTCCAAGCCAACCCAGGGTGGGGCCATTGGGTTGTGGGGTACTGCCCTCTGGCGGTAGCCGGAAAATGGCCCAGCTGCTCCTTCATTGATCCTTCTGTCCATCTGTCCATTTGTTCATCCATCCATCCATCCATCTCGTAGTTACTGAGCAACTATAAATGCTAGGAACTATGCCAGCAAATAGAACAGTGACTTTCCTTGGAGCTTTGTGGTCTGGCAAGGAAAACAAGTAAGAATATAAGTAAGTAGGGTTAGGATGGAGCAGTATAGGGGGCCAAGAGAGCATGGGCATAGAGAACTGGGACCGAGGTTTGGAGAAGCCAGAAAGGAAGTTACATTTAAGCTGAGGGCTGTGGGGTGAGTAGGTGCTAGTTACAGGAGGTCAGGGGAGAAGGGAAGGGTAAAGTGTTGCAGGCAGAAGGAACAGCATTTACAATGACCCAAAGACTTTGGGGAGAGCAAAAAGAAAGCAGCTGCTGCTTGTTCACCCAAATAATATCTATTGAGCAGTTTCTGAGGGGCAGGACCTGCCCTCCTGGGCTTTCCCATCAAGCGGGAGGCAGGAGTCAAAAGGCGATGATAGCATATAGTGATGGGAGGCTGTGGGAGGCCCAAGGAGGCACCCAAAACCCACCTGGTGGTCCAGGAGGCTCCCTGGAGTAAGTGCAGGTCGCCATGTGCCTTGGAAGGTGAGTAGGAGTCAGCAGTGTTTGGGGCCCACAATCTGAGCTGGGCCGCCCAGGAAGCTCGCAGTCTCCCTGGAGAGACAAGATGCGTACACACAGAAAGAGAACAGTACAGAGGAGTCTTTTTGCCACGTACGGAGGGAGGGGTGCTCTGGGAATTCAGAGGCAGGAGGTGGTGGGTGGCATGGCCTGGGCTAGAAGGTCGGGATTGAGATCACAGATAGAGTGGGTGAGGAGAGCAGACTCCACACAGGGCACTGTCTTCTCTTGAAGTTGTCTTTTAACTTTCTATTTGGAAGTAATTTCAAAATTTCGGAAGAGTTGCAAAAATAACATAGTACAAAGAATATCCACATACCTTTTACCAGACTCACTCGTTAATATTATACCCCATTTGCTATCACTTGCTCTCTCTCTGTATGCGTGCATATGTGTGCATATATTGTATGTGTATTCACACGCACACACACATACTCACACACACAATACTTTGGTGATTTTCCACTGAATCCTTTGAACTTAAGTTAAATGCATTATGGCCCTTAACCCTTAAATACTTCAGCGTGTATTTCCTAAGATTAGGGGTATTTTGCTCATGAAGCCACGTGATAATAATCCACTTCATATATTTATGTCGCTCCAATATTTTAATCTATTTTCCAATTTGATCAGTTGACCCAATAATGTTCTTTATAGCACGTTTTTGCCCTCTCAAATAAGATCCGGGCTAGAATCAGGTATTGCGTTTAGTTGTCTCGTCTCTCTAGCCTCCTTCAGTCTGGAACACTGAGACCCGTTTTCTTTTCAAGGTGATTCATTAGCTGGTTTCACCCCATTTAAAAAAATGACAAAGAAGGAAATTACACCAATACAGGATTTGGTGGTTAAGAGACTTGGAACCAGTTAGCTCTGAATGCGAATTCCAGTCTCGTTATTACTATATGATTTTTCCGGCAAAGCTGCGCATTTTATTAGATGCATACAAGTAGCAGGCACCGGGAGCTTGTCCCAGAGATACAGAAATAAAAGATGGGGAAGACGGATAATCAGCTCTTTTAAAAAAAACCCTGGGGGGGGCACCTGGCTGCTCAGTCAGAGGAGCGTGTGACTCGTGATCTCAGAGTCGTGAGTTTGAGCCCTACATTGGGTGTGGAGATTACTTAAATAAATAAAATTAAAAAAAAAAAAAACCAACCTAGGATAAGTTCAGATAATGATCATTGGTGCTGTGGGGTAATTGATAAATATTGTAACTGATGGGAGGGAGGACTCTTATAGAATGACCTCTCCAAGGAGGTGACATTTGAGCTGAGACTTGTATAACGACAAGAACACAGTCATGGGAAAACCTGGCAGGGGGAGAGTGTTCCAGGCAGAGGAAACAGCCTGTGCAAAGGCCCTGAGGTAGGAAGGAGCTTGGTGGCTTTGAGAAACAGCAGGGAGGCCAATGTGACTGCAGGAGAGTGTAGATGAGGACAGGAATGAGGCAGGAGCCAGAGCACGAAGGGTCTTGGTAAGGGTTTGGACTATTCTCAGCCAATATGTCACCTCTCCGAGCCTCAGTTTTCCCCATCTGTGAAATGGGGCTCCTAATAGTACCTGCTTCTTAGGATTCTTGTGAGGCTGAAGGAGAGAATGAAGTATGCAGTGGGCTTAGCCCAGGGCTTGGCATGCAGAAGGTGTTTGGTAAATGTGGCTGTTATCTGTGCTGTGAGGTGGGGAGGGAGACAAGTGGCTCAGATCCTTCCCCATTGAGCAGGGTCTGAGCACTAGGTGAGGCATCTAACACTAGCCCCCTTGCCCTATCAGGTTACCCCGGTTTCCAGGCCACAACCTATGCCAGCCGGAGTTATACAGGCCTTGCCCCTGGCTACACCTACCAATTCCCTGGTAAGTCCTGCTTGGTGTCCCTCTGTTGCCAGCATGTCCCCAGTTCCTGGGCAGTCTGAGTCCTCAGGGCGGTGTCTGGGGGTGCATGGCTGGGGGGGTGGTCTGCCTGCTGGAGGCTTGGAAGGAAGGGCATGTCTGAGGAAGGAGCACCTCTCCCCACCATCCCCTCCTCCTCTCCTCCCCAGAAGCTGGGGATAACCCCCTCCCACCCCTGCGTGGTCCTGCATGGCACGGTTCTCTCCCAGGCCGATCTCTGCCTGCCTCCTGCCTTTCTCCCCTCCTCACGCCATTCCGAGTTGCCACTTCCACCCAAGAAGACATCAGACTTGTGGCGGAAGCGTCCCTGAGGGCCGTTGCCAGCTGTGTCTTTATGGCCACACTTACAATGACCACGTGCTCCGCTGAACCTTTTTAAGGCCCACAAGACCTTTCGCGGCCCTGAATGCTGAAAAGCAATCCAAAACCCCGATGATCACCACCTTCATTTGTAATGCAAAATAAAAATAATGCTAGACCTTAGAATAAGTGGCAGGAAGCCCAACAAAGTTCTGAATTTTGCCATGATGGCTCTTCAGTGTAGTTTTCTTTGAAATATCAGACATCAAATTTTTGCATGCTTTTTTTTTCCCTTTTCTTTTTTGGCCTTTTTTTTTTTTTTTTTTTTTTTTGAGGGTCCCTAAGCACTTGCATCCTTGCCTCTTGGGCTGTCCAGCTTGGAGTCCTTTCTCGACATTATGTTGTCTAATCCTGACAACACTCACGGGGGAAGGATGACCATCCTCATTTTATAGGTGAGGAAATGGTCTCCGAGAGCAAAGCAACTTGCTAAGACGACCCATCATCTATAAAGTGGTGGAGCTAGGAACCCAGCCTGAGTCTGGTGACCTGCTCTGGGGTCACTGTTTTTCATCAATGCTGCCTCACCAGCTCCTCCCCACAAACAAACAAACAAACAAGCAGGAAAAGAGGAGGATTCTGGGAGGTGTTTTGGTGCAATCTCAAATCTTTTAAGAAACCCCAGAACGATCACTCCAGCATCACCCCGAGCCCAGGGTGTAGGTGGCAACTCTCCCTGCTCTTCTTCTCCCTGTCTCTCCTCTGCCTGTGTCTTCTCCACCTTTGCCTGCTGGGCACCGTGCTCTCCCCATCCCAGCTCTTGGGTCCTGTGCATGGCCTGTCCCCCTACCCAGCGTCCCTGTGGGTGCATCCGTGCTCCCTGGGCCGTGCCCCAGGGACCTCCCCTGTACCTTCCTAAGCTGTTTTACGTTTCATTTTAGAATTCCGTGTAGAGCGGACCCCTCTCCCGAGCGCCCCAGTCCTCCCCGAGCTTACAGGTCAGTCGCTCGGATTTCCTACACCTCACAGGCCGCACGGGGAGAAAGAGAAGAACCCAGGGGTCTTCCCCGGGGAAAGCTAGTGGGACCCTTTTCTCCTGTCCCACAGCCCTCTGGCTGTGGGGACACAACAGACTCTGCCCAGGCCCTGGCCAGTCTGTGTAGCTACATGGCCCTGAAGGGTGGGGCATGGGGCCAAGCCCAGCAGATGGAGGAGAAATCACTCATTCATCTAGTTGGCAAATATTTATTTAGCGCCTCCCATGTGCCAGGCACCGAGTAGACTCTGGGATCCAGCAGTCAAGACGCCAGGGTCTCAAACTCAGTAGAGTGGGCCGGGCGGGGTCTTCGACAGACTGGAGTGCGCACGCGTCCACTCTGTGCCAGCCCACCCTGGCCGGGAGGGGATGCACACCTAGTATTTTGAGATGTCTGTTTCTGAGAGAAGCCAGAAACCCGGCTTTTGCTTCTGAATGGATTTTTCAATCGTTCTCAAATGTTGGCAACAAATTCCAAATTGTTAAACCACTGCAGGCCAAATGAAACCTATTTGAGGGCCAAATCCAGCCCTCAGGCTGCCCACTTGCAGCTTCCGAGCAAGCCGGATGAAGTCGCTTGGCCCTGTCGGGAGCCATCTCTCCAGCTGCAGCCCTTGCTTGGGCCTGTCAGCTCTGCTCCGGACCTGGGGCCCCGCCAAGTCCGAGGGGAGGGGAGGGGCATGTGCAGATGAGGTGGGCTGCAAGGGGTTTCTCTGTTCAACCTGCTTCTCCCCCCACCCCACCCCAGACTCTCCCCCCCAACCTGGCCGTGTGTGGAGGACGTGAGCATGGTTGCTGCTTTCGATGAGACCTTCCTTCCAAGGGGTGCTCAGGGGTCCCCCAAAATGGGGGAAGGGGAAGAAAACCAGGGGGTGAGGAAAGGGGAGGGAGTAAAGAGTCCTGTAGGTGGGGGGTGGTAGAGGCCCCTCCCTGAGCAGAGTTGGGTTTGACCCGCCATGGGGGTATTGGAAGGGGGGTTCTTTTCTCCTCATTTAAGAACTTTGTGTTGAGGACCTACTATGTGGGGCACTCTGCCAGGCCCCTGGGGGCAGCGCAGGGACAAGACAGGGCCAGGCCCTGCTCTCACAGGACCTGCAGTCTAGAGAGGAAAACAAATACTTATTATATAAATGAGTAATCCTTTACAGTTGTGATAAGCACTTACTCAGGTTGGCTTAGCTGACTTTGCTTTGTGGAAAGGCCGAACCAGACCAAGAACCAGACCTCAGAGCCCACCCCCTGCCCTCAAAAGAACTGAGAGAAGACATGTCCCCTCAGCAGCTAGCTTGGTACAGGGGAGGAGATTTTCCCTGGAGGTCTGGGGTCTGAACTTTTCTCTTGCCTTCAGGAGATGTGGGTGTTTCCTTCAGGCATTCAGTAGACATTTACCATGCCAGATGTTGGTCCAGGTGGGGATACAGCAGTGAATGAGATGGACAATGTCCCTGTCTCCTGGAGCTGATATTTCAGTGGAGAGAGACAGCAGTCAATAAGTAGACACGCAAATGAATAATTGCAGAGGGTGAGAAGTTCCACAGGGAAAATAAAACAGGGAGATGTTCTAAGGCCTTAGGGCCAGGGGCAGGGGGCCGCCTTAGCAGGGGTGGCCAAGGGAGGGGCCGTCGGGGTGAGGAGTCAACTATATGGCTCTTAGGCAAGGCTCCTTCATAGTGTGGGAATCATGCTGTCTCCAGACTTGAATCCCCCAGACCAAAGGCCTTGCCAAGAATTTTCTGGGGCCATTTACGGAGTCCCTAGCCCCAAGTCCAGTACCAGTTCAGGGTCAAGGTCACCAAAACAGCCCCCAGAGAGTGCATCTCCTGATGGGAGACTGTATCCCTGAGGGCAAATGCCAACTCGGTTGACCCTGGCTCTGCAGTGGCAGAGCCGAGCAGTAGGGGGCGCTCACCCCACTACACCAGCCCAAGGGAGCTCCAGGTTCAAGCCAACCACTTATTTAAGAAGCAGTTCCTTTTAGGGGCACCTGGCTGGCTCAGTCTGTAAAGCATGCAACTCTTGACCTCAGGGTTGTGAGTTCAAGCCCCCCATTGGTTGTAGAGATATCTTTGGGGGGAAAAAAAAAAAGAAGAGGTTCCTTTTACTCCTTCAGCAGCCATTTATTAAACACCTACTGTGTATAAGGCAGGGTGCTGGGCACTGTGGAGGGAGACCGCAAACAAGGGAATACCAATATCTCTGTCTGAAGAGGGGACCAAAGAGAAGGGGCTAGGGGAGTTTGGGGAGAGAATGGTCATTTCCGGTTGGGTGGCAGTCAGGGGAACCCTGAGGCGGGGAATTGGGTGCACCCAATTTACTGAGGGTGTGGCCTCAGGAGAAGGACAGTGAGAGAAAACAGGACAGGCAGAAGGATTGAAGCTGGATTATGGCCTGGATTGGAGTCTGGCTTCCTCCTGATCCCACAGGGAGCTCTGGGACATGCCCTGGTACCTCAGGGTCGGTCCCACCTTGAGGCAACAGGCCCGGCTTCTTGTACCCCCCCTCAGTCAGGCACTGGCTGCCGTCGCCTGGGGTTGGGATGTGGGGCCATAACCTCCTGGGGACCTCTGGGCTAGGTGGTCCCATCCAGCCAAGGGCACTCTCTGAAGTAGGGAGCATCGCTCAGAGCAGCTCAGGGTGGGGTGCCCCGCTGTACCCTGGGTCCGGGTACAGCTGGTGGCCCAAGGGAGTGCTTTCTGCCTCCATGCTGGCGCTGCCCCGACCCTCTGGGGGGGGGGGGTAAGGCTGGAGAGACTCTGCCCAGAGGGGGCCGCCGTCGTCCACCTCCATCCCCTCGGCCACCACACTGAAGGGCCCATACCTTTCCTTCCAGCCATTCCCCTCACTGCCTACGGACCAATGGCGGCGGCAGCGGCGGCAGCAGCTGTGGTTCGAGGGACAGGTGAGGCCTTCCGGGGTGCAGGAAGCAGAGAAGGGGTGTTAGGGGGCAGGGAGGTCTAGAGCGGAGCGGAGGTAGCCACTGCCTCCCTTTCCCAGAGGGACTTACTTACTCATCTGCTCCGCAGGTATTAACAGAGCACCTGGGAGGCCAGCCAGGGAGGAGACCCCGTGTCCTCCTGGGCTTTGCAGGCTGGGGGGGGCGTCGGGTGTGACGAAAGGACGGACCTGCTCTGCTGGGGGCCGGGGGGGAGTCAGGTACCAGAGGCGCTCACAGATGGAGCCTCTCAGGAAGGCTTCCCAGAGGCCCGCTCTTTAACTTCCGATTTGAAGGCAAAAAAGAAAAGTGTCCCCAGCAGAGGCCAGCTAGTATGGGGGGTGGGGGGGAGTACAGGATTGGGGGGTGGGGAGGACGAGGCAGGAGGAACCAGGTCCTGGGGAGACACGGAACATTGAAGCAGTGGAGCGATGTCGATTTTGGAACAGGCACTCGGCTGCCGGATGGGGAGAGAATTTGCAGGGGCTCAGGAGGGGAGGCCTGGAGGTCAGTGAGGAGGCAGCAAAGTGGACAGACGAGCTGGTGGCGGTGGATGGACTTGGGGAGACCTCCAGCCGGTGGACCCACAGGCCCCGCTGGGATGTAGGGGTGAGGGAAAGGGAAGGCTCAAGGTCACGGTGGGTGGAACAGGTTCAAGGGGGGTGTCGTGGGGCAGCAGTGGGCGCCGGGGCTATCACCGTCTTCTTTCTGGGTTGCCAGGCTCTCACCCCTGGACGATGGCTCCCCCTCCAGGTTCAACTCCCAGCCGCACAGGGGGCTTCCTGGGGACCACAAGCCCCGGCCCCATGGCCGAGCTCTATGGGGCAGCCAACCAGGACTCGGGGGTCAGCAGTTACATCAGCGCTGCCAGCCCCGCCCCCAGCACCGGCTTCGGCCACAGTCTTGGGGTGAGTGGCCAGTCCTGGAAGACTCAGAAGTTGGAGGAGGGAGAGGTTTTGTCTGTTAGCAGGGGCAGAAGGGGGCCGAGGGAGGGTGGATGGAAAAAGATGGTCACCAAGGGGGAACAGTGGGGCTCATCATTCATTCCGTGTGCCAGGCATTAGGTGGGCTCTGGGGATACCACGCAGACTCACCGTCTCTGGCCACATGGAGGCTAGATTCTAGCTCAGGAGTGTCCTCATTTTAACCAGGGTACTGGCAATATGCAGATTTCAAGCCCTACCCCAGAGAATCTTCTAGCGCATCTGCAGTGGGGGCGATATGGGCAAGGCTAGAGAAGGGTCTGTGCCTCACCTCGGTGTTCCTCCGAAGAAAGGAGCCCCTGGGCGTTTTCTGCGTCCCGAGGAATCTAGGAGTCAAATTCTTTTCTCCCCAGGGCCCTTTGATTGCCACAGCTTTCACCAATGGGTACCACTGAAGCAGGAATCAGGTGGCAGGAGGTGAGGAGGTGGGCCGGGGCCTTGGGGGTGGGGGTGGCTCTGGGAGGGCTGGCACCGGGAAGCCCCGTCTGGGCCACAGACCTTGTCCCTGCCTTCATGGAGCCCACAGTCCAGGGGGGAGACAGAACTTTCATAACCGCAGTGGTCAGTGAACCTGAAACCTGCTCAGCCTGCTACATCAAAACTAAATGGAAAGCACAACAAGGGGGCGCCTGGGTGGCTCAGTTGTTAAGCGGCTGCCTTCGGCTCAGGTCATGATCCTGGGGTCCTGGGATCGAGCCCCGCATCCGGCTCCCTGCTCAGCGGGAAGCCTGCTTCTCCCTCTCCCGCTCCCCCTGCTTGTGTTCCCTCTCTCACTGTGTCTCTCTCTGTCAAATGGGTAAAATCTTTAAAAAAAAGAAAAGCACAACAAGGCAGTCCACGCGACCTGTCAAAGATTTTTTTTTTTTTTTTAAGATTGCTAATGCCCCACATTGATGAGGGTGTAGGGGAAGCAACATGTAAATTGTCTTTGTCTTGGGGTTTCCAAAGGGCAGACTGGCACTGTGTGCCCAGGTTTTAAACAGTCATGCCCTTGACCCAACGAGGCCACTTCTAGGCATTTATTTAAAAAACTGCCAAAAACCAGGGCGCCCGGCTGGCTCAGTCGGAAGAGGGTGTGACTCTTGATCTCAGGGTCTTGAGTTTGAGCCCCGTGTTGGGTGTGGAGATTACTTAAATAAAATTTTTTTTTAAAAATTAAAAACTGCGAAACACTGAAATGCCCATCAAAAGGAAAGTGGTTAAGTAAATCAGAGCGTATGCGTACAGCGGCATGTTACACAGCCATTAAAACGGGATACTGTCAACATATACTCATGTCTGGAGAGTGAGAGAGAGAGGGAACTCTGTACACATGGTCACGCGGGGTGCTGTGTGAACCCGGGACATTTCGTTTGTTCCTTCCTTCCTTCCTGCATTTATTCCAACGACTATTAGTCAGTTGAGCACCGTTTCAGGAAGGAGGGATGTAGGAGACAGACAAGGCCCCTCTCTCATTCTACAGACAAAAATCAAGTGGACAAATGAGGAACTTCCAAATTATGTGTGAAGGGGCTACTTCAGATTAGAGGTTCAGAGAAGGTGCCTCTGAGAAGGTGCCACATTTTAAATAAATCCAGTCATGCAAAAATCTAGGGAAAGAGGGCACCTGGGTGGCTCAGTCGGTTGAGCGACTGCCTTCGGCTCAGGTCATGATCCTGGAGTCCCGGGATCGAGTCCCGCGTCGGGCTCCCTGCTCGGCGAGGAGTCTGCTTCTCCCTCTGACCCTCCCCCCTCTCGTGTGCTCTCCCTCTCTCTCAAATAAATAAATAAAATCTTAAAAAAAAAAAAAAGACTCATCTAGAGGGGCGCCCGAGTGGCTCAGCTGGTTAAGCGTCTCTTGATTTCAGCTCATGTCATGATCTC